CAGCAAGATGACTCTGAGAAGAGCAAAGCTTAGGGAGAACAAACTGCAGCCTGAGAAGCCATTTAGCGGCAGGGTCAGAGTTAAACAGATAAAATCCCCCGAGATAAATGCTGCTCAGAGAGTGATGTCCTTCAACCTCTTCCTGCTCCAAGACAGACCTATCCACCAACCAGATGGTGCAGAGGTCAGCCAGCCAGGAAAAGAAACCCTGATCACCCATCGCCAGAGGTCACTGCCTTGGATAATGCAGAAAAGTTGTCCCTGCAAAGCAACCAGCTGTGGGATGTGGGAATGAGAAAAGTGACTTCGGGAAAGAAAAGGAGAACAGCTGGTTCCAGAGGAATGAAGAGGCTGCTCCTCTTTTCACTTCTGGACCACGATTAGTCAGGGACCAGGAGCCGATACTGGATGGGAGGGCACAGTGATCCTGACTTTGCCCTGAATTATCCCCCATGGATTTGTCTAACCTCCTTCTAAAACTGCCCAAATTGGGGGACAGCACAACCCCCCAATTTAACTCCAGTGGTACCTTGGGTTACATACGCTTCAGGTTACATACGCTTCAGGTTACAGACTCCGCTAACCCAGAAATAGTACCTCGGGTTAAGAACTTTGCTTCAGGATGAGAACAGAAATTGGGCTCCGGTGGCACAGCGGCAGCAGGAGGCCCCATTAGCTAAAGTGGTGCTTCAGGTTAAGAACAGTGTCAGGTTAAGAACAGACCTCCGGAACGAATTAAGTTCTTAACCCGAGGTACCACTGTATGTGCTTCCATTTGTCCTTCTTCTTCCTTTGTCAGAAGATTCAGGGCAGACAAAAGAAATAACTTCTCAACACAGCACAGAGTTACCAACTCTGGAACTCGCTTCCAACGGAGGCCACATAGCCATTGTTATATTTTTTAAAAAAAATTCATTTTCTATTAAATTTCTGTTTTACATTTTAGAATATTCACTTAAAAAACCTTAAAATAGCAATGACTTCCCTTCCTCTCTTTCCATGGTTCATTTTGCACAACATTAATCCCAGCATATTTTATATAAACTAAACCATTCAGTATTCCATTACAGTGGTACCTCGGTTTACGAACTTAATCCGCTCTGGAAGTCCTTTCTGAAACCGAAACTGTTCTTAAACCGAGGTGCGCTTTCCCTAATGAGGCCTCCTGCCGCTGGTGACCTTCCACCGTTCAGATTCCATTATTAGACCAAGATAAAGATCACAAACCGGAACACTACTTCTGGTTTTGCGGAGTTCATAAACCAAATAGTTCGTAAACAGGACTGTTCGTAAACTGAGGTACCATTGTATTACATCCATCAGATGCTATTTACACTGTTGAATTTATCTTAATGCTGCCCACATTTTCAAATAAACACAATTTTGCTCCAGATATTCAATAAACATTTTCCAATCTTCTTTAAACGTATGTTCTTCTTGTTCTCTTATTCTATATGTTAGGTTCGCAAGCTGCGCATATTCCATCAGTTTAAGTTGCCAATCTTCTATAGTCATTTTCCATTTGGATCACACTTCCAGAGTTTTTCCCAAAGAGGAAAATCTGTATTGTGTCCTATACCTATTGCCCAGCATTGTTATAAAAATTTTAAGGTGCGCACATATGGCAGGCACACATGGTCCACAGCAAACCAAACCTTAACCCTTCCACCCCTCCCCTAAATCTACTTTTTGCTGAACCAAAAAAGCTCTAAATGTTCCATCCTTCCGCAGTTCTAGCCTTGCGCAATTCTTCAGGAACCCCAGCCTTCCTGCAGAAATCAATCCTATTTATATTGGGGGATATTTACTGCCATGGAGGAATGTGCCGGAATGGGCAAGGCTGGCGCTGCAGAAGCAAGGCTCGCACTTCACGTCAACCCATTGCAGAAAGCACAGGTGCTCCTCACGTCCCACAGAGGCAGGCCATGTTGACTTCCAAGCGCAAGGAAAAGGAAACGGCAGCAGTTCTAGCAGAGAACAAGGGTGGATTCTGGGTCAGTGAATGTTGAGTGGCACAGCTCAAGCAAAAACAAACAAAGCCCTTGGGGACAAGTATTGACACAGCATTACTGGAGAGGAGAAGACAAGAATCGGGAGTGAGCGACGAGCCTGCACGCAGGAAGGAAAGACCCTCTTATTACTGAACTCTGCTTCAGTGACTCGGGAGGTTGGAGAGGTTAAAATGTGCTTCAGATGAATTCATATTTCAAAACTACTTCTCTGCTATGTTTACAGTTATGGATCCACACCTGCAGGTGCAAGACTATCAGTCGGCGGGGGGGACGGGGACAGGGGATGGGACTGGACACCTGTGGTTTAGGGCCCTCATATCTACGGGACCACCTCTCCTGGTCTGCCCCATAGAGGACCTTAAGGTCCATGAATAATCCTAGTTTAGAGGTCCCGGACCCTAAGGAAGTCAGACCATCCTCCACCAGGCCCAGGGCCTTCTCAGTGATGGCTCCGACCTGGTGGAATGCTCTGTCCTATGAGACTAGGGCCCATCAGGATTTAACCGTTGGGCCTGTATGACAGAGCTATTACACCTGGCCTTTAATTTGAATTCAGACTGATCTTTTATTCCCCTTCCTTCCCTCCCTCTCCCCTTTTATGAAGATTACCTGCTTTGAGACCCCACAGCTAATTCTCCCCTGGCCTCCTCGCTGGCCCAAGTAGGACCAATTCAGCCAGCTAGCCCTGGGGATTATCTAATGCTTATTAGATGGATTTCCCTTAAACTGATTACTGAACTTTGAATTTTATTGTTATTCATGTTTTTATACTGTATTTTATGCTGTTTTTACAATTAAGTGTTTGAAAATTGTTGTTAACCACCCTGAGCCCGGTTTTTGAACCGGGAAGGGTGGGGTATAAATAAAAAAATATTATTATTATTTGTTATGTGCATAACCTTAAAGAACTGTGGTGAGTTACTGGACTACTGCAATGCGCTCTACATGGGGCTACCTTTGAAGGTGACTTGGAAACTACAACTAATCCAGAATGCAGCAGCTAGACTGGTGGCTGGGAGCAGCCGCTGGGACCTAAAGGATCTTCACTGGCTCCCAGTACGTTTCCAAGCACAATTCAAAGTGTTGGTGCTGACCTTTAAAGCCTTAAACGGCCTCGGCCCAGTAGACCTGAAGGAGCGTCTCCACCCCCATTGTTCTACCTGGACACTGAGGTCCAGCGCCGAGGGCCTTCAGGTGGTTCCCTCGCTGCAAGAAGCCAAGTTACAGGGAACCAGCCAGAGGACTTCTCGGTGGTGGCGCCTGCCCTGTGGAACACCCTCCCATCAGATGTCAAGGAAATAAACAGCTATCTGACTTTTAGAAGACATCTGAAGGCAGCCCTGTATCAAGATGTTTTATTATGTTTTTATATGCGTTGGAAGCCGCCCAGAGTGGCTGGGGTAACCCAGTCAGATGGGAAGGGTACAATTATTATTATTATTATTATTATTATTATTAGTCAGGAAGTTCAAATCTCTCTTCTGCCAGGAACTGCCAATGACGTTGGCAATCCTCAGTCCTTCCACCTGCAGAATGGGAGGTTGTAGTACTGGCTTAGCTTATGGCAGGCTTCGCCATCCTGTTACCCGCCAAATGTTTTGGACCACAACCGCCACGAGCCCCAGAAAACACCCCTAAAAGTGTCAATGCTTTTCCTTATGCTCTAAAGTGCCAGATATACCAACGGTGTCTCGTGCATAAAAATAAAGTGCATTTTGACGGAGCAGGGGAAAGTGCTAAGTTCTGTGGCTCTTGTGGTTACCCAAGTTGGCAGCCCCAGGAGGCCTCTTCAACCAGCGTCGCATTTTGCCAGAGAGCATCTCTGGAAGCAAAAGTGCCAGTTCCCATTTCCCATTCCTTCCAGCAACACCTCAAACCCACCAATATGGAGCCCAGCCATTACCTGCCATGGGGGCAGATTCTGACCCAGAAGGCTCCAGTTGCCAATCGCCACCCAAAACCCACAGAGGGTCGAGCTGCTCAGGTCTTCAGCAGCCACAAGAAGATGCTTCAAGCTCAACACTGGCAGGAAGCGCTTGGAGTTACCCGTTGCAACTCTGGTCTAGACCCAACAGCTGCCATTCATGCGCCGGAAGCCTCAAGGGTTGAGGACTGAGCAGACGTCCTCACTTGGCATGCTCAAGGTCGGATGGCCATCTGCCAGGGTGCTTGGGTTGAAATTCTTGTATTGCAGGGGGCAATTCTCTGATTCAGCAGAACATCTGAAAGAGCTCATGTGTGCACATTTCATAGCAAGCCTCTCCCCTTGTTGACCAACAAAGTCCATTCATCAGAAGCTCAGCGTCATCTGCTCTGACACAGTGACTCTCCAGGGTTTGAGACCAGCCCAACTTGGAGACTATTAAGTCATTAATTGCATCTATAGCACTCTTTTTTTCTCCAAGGCGCTCACTCAGTTGACCCCCACAACAACCCTGTGAGGTAGGTTAGGCCGTAAGGCAGTGACTACCCCCCCAGCATCAGCCATTGAGCTTCATTATTATTAGTAGTAGTAGTAGTAGTAGTATACTTTTTTTTTTTTTCATTGTGCAGGAGATGCCAACAGGAAGGGAAGAGACAAGGATAGTGAAGATGAATGCGAACAAATGCAGTTACGGGCACTAACTAAGGCCTCATTACAGCTGGGAATGGCTGCCATGTTTGCTGAATATTGTGAGTCCCATGGAGGTGTCATGGAGGAGATGGCTGCATCTCAAGGTGGAATGGGAGGAGCGTGGAGAGTTGGAGCTGGAGGACACTGGAAAGAGTTCTAGCAGGATGGAATCAGGACATCAAGAAGTGTCTGAACTCAGTGAGGCATCCAGCGCCTGGGAAGAGGAGATCTGGAAGCCAGGGTGGCCTGAGTAGGTTGCCAGAGGAGCATCCTGCCCCTGTGACAACTGGACACCTCTAACCTAATGCTATGGAGCCTTGTCTGGTACCTCCTTCTGTTGGTGAGGACAAGGAAGGCTGAGAGAGTGAGCTTCATGGCTGAGTGGGGATTCGAACCCTGGTCTCTCCCAGTGTCCTAGTCTGACACGCTAACCACTGCACCACACACACCGGGGATGGACCCTGGGCAGGTGCTCTGCCAGAGAGCTAAGGTCTTTCCATGGGATGGAGAAGGGACAATTGCCCAGAAAGAGAGAGACGAGTTGGGGGAAGGTAGTCAGGTTCTTAAAACCTTCAGCTGAATCACAGCAAGCTCTACTTGCATTCAAACATCTGGGCTACATTTAAAAACAAAACAAAACCCCAACGTGGCATCAAATATCCAATTTGCCCAAAGACAAGGCGCAGGAGCAGGTGGGGGGGGGATACAATATTCAGCCTTTTCCCCATCTTGCATACTCTCACAAGCCGTGCCACTGGGTGGAAGGAGAAGAACGAAGATCCCTCTGGGGCTTTCGCCAGAGTTTTTTAGGCCTGTAACAAATTAAGGCATTTGTGGGGAACTATCAACTGCTTTTGGGGGCCTTTAACCGATTAGCAGATTCATTAGCCCATTAAAATAATATATTACAGTATTTCAGAGCAGGTGATATACCGAGGACATTTCTATTGACTTAATAACACAAACAAATCACTTTTATTGAGCGCATTCCAGCAAGCAGGCCTGGGGCCCATTTGTTCTAATGGGAGCGCCCGGCGCATTGGATTGCATACGCAGTGTGGAAAACGCGAGCCAAGTGGTGCAACATGTACAAACTGGCGCGCACTTAGGGGGCAGGGGGAGTTGGGATCTGCTGACTCTGCCCCAATCTCCACACATCACGTGCACATGGACTGTCTGGTGTACACATCCCGAACATGCAATGTGGGACTCACAGAATCTTTTTCCCCCCATGTCATAAGCTGCCTTGAGCATGGTTCGAGCTATGGAAAAGCTGCATGCAAATAAAATTATGCATATATGCATGTAAAAACCACACAGCCAGTGAAGGGCACTCAGCCTTTTCCAGGGGGCGAGACAGTGTACTGATGTGTAGACTCTGTGCACTCAGAACTATGACCCATTGCACACCCTCGTGTTCTTTGGACACCTGAACAGGACTCTTGAAGCTTACAGCCAGTGGACAATGGGAAACGGATAGGGTCCCAAGCTCAGCTCGTGCCAGCAATACAAATGTCTTGCTTTAAAAACTGTAGTAAAGGTAAAGGGACCCCTGACCATTAGGTCCAGTCGTGGCCGACTCTGGGGTTGCGGCGCTCATCTCGCTTTATTGGCCGGGGGAACCGGTGTACAGCTTCCGGGTCGTGTGGCCAGCATGACTAAGCCGCTTCTGGCGAACCAGAGCAGCACACAGAAATGCCGTTTACCTTCCCGCCGGAGCGGTACCTATTTATCTACTTGCACTTTGACGTGCTTTCGAACTGCTAGGTTGGCAGGAGCAGGGACCAAGCAACAGGAGCTCACCCCGTCACGGGGATTCGAACTGCCAACCTTCTAATCGCCAAGCCCTAGGCTCTGTGGTTTAACCACTCAAGGGCATCCTGATCAAAGATGGACTCAAGGGCATCCTGATCAAATTTGCAGATGACACCAAATTGGGAGGGGTGGCTAACACCCCAGAGGACAGGATCACACTTCAAAACGACCTTGACAGATTAGAGAACTGGGCCAAAACAAACAAGATGAATTTTAACAGGGAGAAATGTAAAGTATTGCGCTTGGGCAAAAAAATGAGAGGCACAAATACAAGATGGGGGACACCTGGCTTGAGAGCAGTACATGTGAAAAGGATCTAGGAGTCTTGGTTGACCACAAACTTGACATGAGCCAACAGTGTGACGCGGCAGCTAAAAAGCCAATGCAATTCTGGGCTGCATCAATAGGAGTATAGCATCTAGATCAAGGGAAGTAATAGTGCCACTGTATTCTGCTCTGGTCAGACCTCACCTGGAGTACTGTGTCCAGTTCTGGGCACCACAGTTCAAGAAGGACACTGACAAACTGGAACGTGTCCAGAGGAGGGCAACCAAAATGGTCAAAGGCCTGGAAACGATGCCTTATGAGGAACGGCTAAGAGAGCTGGGCATGTTTAGCCTGGAGAAGAGGAGGTTAAGGGGTGATATGATAGCCATGTTCAAATATATAAAAGGATGTCACATAGAGGAGGGAGAAAGGTTGTTTTCTGCTGCTCCAGAGAAGCGGACACGGAGCAATGGATCCAAACTACAAGAAAGAAGATTCCACCTAAACATTAGGAAGAACTTCCTGACAGTAAGAGCTGTTCGACAGTGGAATTTGCTGCCAAGGAGTGTGGTGGAGTCTCCTTCTTTGGAGGTCTTTAAGCAGAGGCTTGACAACCATATGTCAGGAGTGCTCTGATGGTGTTTCCTGCTTGGCAGGGGGTTGGACTCGATGGCCCTTGTGGTCTCTTCCAACTCTATGATTCTATGATTCTAACCCACAGCGCCACCCGCGTCCCTTAAAAACTGTATCTCTGTACTAAAACCTTTAACAGCAATTTAATAAACGCAGCCTCATGATTAACTTGTTTAGTGGCTCAGCTGGGAACAGCACACACTCAGTCGGGTAAGCCCACATTTCCTAGACAACGTTAAACAAACAGGAACAAAGGGAGATGTTTGGACGGGGTTCCTGCTGCACTAGAGGCCTCCCTTCTGTTTACCCACCCCTGCTCACAGCCATCCTGCCTTCTCACACCCCTCACACACAAGGGCATCTCTCTCTCTCTCTCTCTTTCTCAAAATCTGTGCAAAAATCCAGAAATTGCAGCTGCTTTCACGAGATGCTTTGCAAGAAGAATCCACATTCCCAGGCCTTTGCAAATGATGTCACAGCAACGACTCACAGGACACCTGCTCCCACCCACCAAAATGCAGAATCATTTCCGTTCGTCACCCGTTGCCATCTAAAGCATGTACCGAAACAGCAAGGAATGTGTGCAATCGATTGATGCAACCTTGCATTTGTGTCCGACCAGGGATCCGTGGCTGAACATGGCTCCCTGTTGAGGGAATGCTTGGCGGCAAATCTGGGTTTGCTGTTTTGCGAAATGGACTTCTTAACGCGATGCATAGTTGATCCGTGGAACTCCCTCCCACAAGAGGCAGTGAGGACTACCAGCCTATATGGCTTTAAAAGAGGACTAGGCAAATTCATGGAGAAGGAGAGGACTATCAGTGGCTTCTATCAGATATTGCACCCTCACTGCTGCTGGAGACGCCACAATGAGTGTGCAAAGCTGTTCTCCAGAGAGTTCTGTGTCATGCACCTCGGTTGCCACAAAGCTTTGGCTTGGGCTTCAGGGTTGCCGTGATGCCTAGGCTCTGCCACCTTCTCTGCTAAGTCCCACATTTCTGCATTTGCCAAATATCAGGGTGCTTCCACATTGTCAAACTATGGGAGCACTCCCCAAAGTCACTCTCCATAGACTGAATTCAGGAAAGACCCATCTGCGACCCAAAACAGAAGCGTGCCGTGTAGGGCTTTGTGGAGCTCTGGAATTACACGGGCTTTCTCAGATGTAAGGTAAGGTAAAGGTACCCCTGACCATTAGGTCCAGTCATGACCAACTCTGGGGTTGTGGCGCTCATCTCGCTTTATTGGCCGAGGGAGCCGGCGTACAGCTTCTGGGTCCTGTGGCCAGCAGGACTAAGCCGCTTCTGGCGAACCAGAGCAGCACACAGAAACGCCGTTTACCTTCCCGCCGGAGTGGTACCTATTTATCTACTTGCACTTTGACGTGCTTTCGAACTGCTTGGTTGGCAGGAGCAGGGACCGAGCAACAGGAGCTCACCCCGTCGCAGGGATTCTGTCTATACACCTTCCCTGCACACTGGAGGCTGGAAAAAGATACTGTACAGTGGTACCTCTGCTGCACTAAACCGGTGCAGCATGACACGGGAACTCGCTTCCGTGGCACTAGAAATCGTGTCTGTGCATGCGCAGACGCCGAAAATCACAGCACGCACTCACGTGTGCACACAATCCGGCCCACAGAGGGATCTCTGCTGGAGTGAACTGGCCCAGGTGAGGTAAACCTTGCAGACCCCTGCAGTAGGTAACCAAACAAACCCCGGTGTTGCAAACAGAATGTCAGCAATGTCTAGGCAAGTCCAAAATTAAAACAAGTCCAAAATGAAATCTTTAGTCTCAAAGTCTCTGAAAATCTTTAAATGTACGATGACAGACAAGCTGTGAAGCTTTGTGTATTCAGCAAATATGATATCCAACACTGAACAGTGATTCCGGATATAGTCTATTTAAAGATTTTCAAAGACCTTGAGACTAAAGATTTCATTTTGGACTTGCTATGGTTTGAAGGAATTCTATAAAAGATTGTTCATTGCATATGTGCATGGTCATCGTGTTGCCTAGACATTGCTGACCCCTGCAGTAGAATAGACCCCTGCAGGGTCATGGATTCGAGCCCTGCATTGCAGAGGGCTGGACTAGATGGCCCTTGGGGCTCCCTTCCAATTGTATGATCTGTTATTCATTGTGAAGTTGTTTCCTCTGTTCTTAGAGGCCATGGGTCACGATTTGAGCATCTCTGCTCTACGACATACACCAGTGCTGGATTTAGGGCAAGTTTGGGCAGTTTCCCACTGCAGGGTGCCACACCGAAGGGGAGCAAAATGGCAAAGATCCAGAACTGAGGAGATTCATTTGGAGGGGCACTAAATTTTGGGCTTGCTCAGGAAACCCTGAATACACAGGTAACACCTGACCAGACACAGAGGACAGGAGAGCTGGCAGGTGGCAGCTGAATTTCCTTAACGATCTTGCAAATTAAGAATGGCTGCAAGGTCTTGCAGTCCCTGAAGGCAGCGGATGCCTTTAGACATTTCTTTCGCCTGTCCTCCCACAAGAGATTACAACCATTTAAAACCTGGAGGCATAAATAACAGCTGTCAAGGTGTTGGCTGCAGTCCAGGGGAGTCAACAGAGCAAGGCCAGAGAACGTCTGCCTTTCCTCAGGGGTTGCAGCCGCAAAAAAGACTCCAAGCTTAGACCTCAAGCGGTTTCTCCAAAGCTCAGGACCCTTCCACCGACATGAACAAAGCCCTTTGGCAAAGCATCCCAGGAGCAGG